CTTTCCGCAGCTCCTTTAATTGTTTGTTATTGTTATCACGATTATTCTTTAAAATAAAGTTATATAGTCATTAACGTTATTGAAACTGACAGCTGCTATACAGCTCGTTGAGAAATGAGGTTAAGTTGGTCGCTATAAGCTACTCCCTACGTCCAATGTGTCAGAGCCAACTTCGACCATGTTTTTATTTGAACGCTCGTTATTATGTTCCTTTAGGCAATTTTACAATAATTTCGCGGATAGGACTTTTTTCAGTAAAAATGTAATTTGCTTGGTCTATATATATTTTATTGGAATATAGCATATACTTGATTAAATCAAATAAATTAAATTTTTTTAATCATTGCCATGGAAAACATTTTGATAATTTAGTTAGGATATTAATTACAAAAACTTATTTGTAAAGAAAAACAATATTAACAATAAAAAACAAGTCTTCAGAATAAAATATACCGACGTAACTCTTCCGATTTTTATTAAGGGATGTTCAAAGATTATTTTAGATTTTTGGCAACACTAAAAATTGCAATTTTTAATATAGTTTATTGACGTTGAAAATGGTTAAAATCGCGTTTTTTCGAACAAAAAATCGTTAATATCTCGGTAATACGCTAGATTTTAGAGAAAAGTTGCATTGGAACTTCTTTGTTCAGGATACCCCAAAAATCCTAAAATTTGATTTCGAGCGAAAAAATTACGAATTTATTTTAAAAAAATCGTTTAAACCATTTTTGATCATTAGTAACGTCTGACAACATGCGGATATGTTTCAAAGGTCATTTTTTAGTAAGGTTATGAAAAAAAATCCAATGAGAATCACAGTTTCAGTTGGTGTAACATCGATTTTAAGCTCCTTGAAGGTCAAGCGCAGTTTCTCTAGCAGCAACGAAAATTGTCCGAGAAATTTTGAGCTCAAGGGGCCGCCTGCCAACTAGGGTGACATTCTGGGTCAAGTAGACGGCGCAAAAATCATTTATCTAGCTGCAAATCGATATGCTTCCCCTTTGTTATCACTTAGAGGGCGACATTCCGGCTCCTACGGCGAAACTTGGCCCGCGACCAGCCCTAAAAACTGCGAGGTCGCGCGCGGCGGTGAGGATTTCCGAATCAATTCGTTGGGATTTCGCGGCCTAGATAGAGCGCGGTGATAATGTGAGATTGACAAGCGATTACGGGTTTTTGTTTGGACACGGCGGAGTGATCGATCATTCCGGCTGGAAACTGTTATCTGTTAAATTCGCCGGACTTTCGAAATTAGTCCGGCGCGGCGCCGACACGTGAACGTCCGATTTGGGTGATTTGTTTTAATTCATCAATTCGACGTCGTCAACCGGACACTTTAGTTAGTACGTGCTTCAATAATCTAACCGTTAATTTTTGAAAATGTTTTTGTTTCACAAATTATACAACTCAAATTAATCAACATCATATCTAGACCTAAAGCTAGCACTATTAGTCCAATTACTTAGATGAGCCTTTAAATCACAATTGTGGTCAACTTTCCTGAATTTTGTATACAAGGTGTTTGTAAATAAGCGCGAAATATTTTAGACGGTGGTTGCCGAAGTTATTTTATGAAAAAAAAATTCATAGAAACGTAGGTCGAAATACGCTTCGTTTCCGAGATACAGAGTGTTTAAATTTTAATTTTT